ATTATATTATGTGTATATTTGACACAAAAAATGAATATACTCGTCATAAAGGCCCATGTATTGGTTACACTTCTGTGATTTGTCTAAACTAAACTACACATACAATTTAATATTAATGTTTGAATCAATGTTACTTGAGTTCCGATTTCAGATCTGATATCGTTCTACAAAATATAAATAACTTAAGATAAAATATAAATATAGAAGCATAATCACCAAACAAATTTCTAGAGTTTAATCAAAGAAGGGTAAATACAATATATTAGCCACAACTATTATGAAGCGAGAAATTATAGCCACAACTATGGAAATTCAAATTATTAGCCAAACGTTAAATATTTATTAATAATTTCGTTAGTAATACTAATTAAACTTTTATGTTTTAAAGTTATAAATTAAAAGCAGTCCGACGTGGTTGTTGCCGTCGCCGATGATGTGGCCTTCTCCATTAAAAATTCAATAACAGTAACAGACAGTTAGCCATATCCTGAACTGCAATAATAGTTATGGCTAATCATTTGAATTTTCATAGTTGTGGCTTTAATTCCTCGCTTCATAATAATTGTGGCTGATATATTGTATTTACCCATAAAAGAAATAACAATAAGACAATGTAGCATAGTTGATTATAATCTCTTTCTCATTTAAGTACCAAGGTTCGATCTCCAATGAAGACGTTTTTTTCTATACATAGATGAACTGTGTGCAATGACAAAAATGACCTTCCTAGAATCACTCTCATGCCACGAAATTTGAAATGGGAGAATTTCAACCCATGTTTTGCCTTTATATATCTTGTAGAGATATATATATCTATCTAGATCATGAATTAAATCGAGTTTGGGGTATGATACTATACCCTAACCTCTAATCATAGTTAGTAAAATACGGTACGGGAAAGTTACGTAAAAAATACGTACGGGTATTTTACGTCGTCTCTAAGCTAAAGGTACGTTTAATAGTACGTTAATAGTAATAAATATATAAAAATAAATTATTTTAAAAATATATAAAAATATAAATAATAGTAAAGTTCACAATTTAATTCATTAAATACGGATATTAAACGTGTTATACGGGTTTTATACGTGTTTAGTACGGGAGTCATCCAATGAACGGAAAAAAATGAAACGGCTTGACAATAATACGGATACGGAAGTTTTAAACGGATAAAGTACGTACGAGTACATATACGTGTATTAAACGGAGTATTTACTAACTATGCCTCTAATGGATAAACCCTAGAAACCGATTTTCTAAACCCCAACCCGAAGTATGATTTAATGAAAAATAAAAATTGACCGTTAAGATCGGTCGGAGCTCATCTAACTACATCTAACGGCTAGATCACCTGACGTATACTATACGTCTGGCATACACCAGTCATTACCATATATATATATATGTGTGTGTGTAACCAAGTAAAAACCCTAATTCTAATCCCCACCCACCTTTGAGAGCGCCGCTCACCCCTAACCCCCTCTCTCTTTAATTCTCCATCTCTTTGTTTTGTTTCTTCCCAAACTCTCTGCATCTCTCACCCTTACAACAAACAATTCTCAAACTCTCTTTTCCTTTCTCACCCTTACAACGACGGCGATGAAGCGACAGGGTTGGAGGAAAAATATCAGTTGGCGAAGCTCTTCTCTGCATGCGAGGTTTGAGAACCCAACAGCAACATCGCCGCCGTCGTGAAGGACTGCCACGCTTCGATCGAGAAGAAGTTGGATGAGAAGATGGAGTTCGATAGTGCTGGTGAAGCCACAGAGGTCGATGGGTTCGCCGGCAGCGGCTGCGTCGTCGAGAAATTTACTCGGAGCGATTGAACCCTAGAATCTTTTTGTCGACTTTTTTTTTAATTCTAAACGGCCAAAACACAAAATTTGGTTGGACGGTTCGAGCATCTCAAATGGTTAACCATTTCAGCCACTCAAAAACTGACATTTCTTACCGTTTCGGCTATTGGAGGCTTCTGACCTGAGCTGGTGTCCGGGTGCCAGTTTTACCGGTCCGGTCGACTGGCTCGGGTCGGCTTTAATGACACTGCAAAATATACATATTTTTTTAAAAAAATTCCAAAATACATACGTTTTATGAAAATTTCCCAAAATACACATGTTTGAATGCATGCACCACGGCAGACGAAACCGGTGAATGCATCACCGCGGTTGATGGCCGCGGTGAATGCATCATCGCGGTTTATGGGCGCGGTGAATGCCTAACCTAACACCGAGCGCTAAGTTCCATTCGTTTGAAGTTTCAGTGTTAGGTCATGCATTCACCGCTTTCGCCTGCCGCGATGAATGCATTCACTACGATTGACGGTCGTAGTGACGCCCAAACATATGTACTTTGGGAAATTTTCACAAAATGTATGTATTTTGGGATTTAAAAAAAACATGTGTAATTTTTCCCTCTATCTGCTAGGAAATCACTCTTTGTCCCTCATTTGTGGATTTCCGCCGCCGGCGCACCTGTTCTTAAACACAGTCCGACGGTCTCCAAAATGTCCAGTAATCTTGCAAGAATCCATGAATTTCCTTTTGCAATTCGGTGTCCTTCAAAACCCAGTTGCTTCAGCCAATTCCCATCAACCAAACCCTCGTTAAATCCTGCTTCCACCCACTTTACTACCAAAGTTTCGTATTGTTTTGACTCCCATTCCGCCAGCTATTTTTGTGATTCGGTGAAAGTAGGTAGTAGCAGGTGTTGGATAAATTGGTGTTCAGGTGGGTTTAGGATGAGAATTAGGAGTTTCTCTACTTCACAACACTCTCAACCGAGTAATGGTAGAAGAAGTGCTGACTGCTGTTGTGAAAAATGGGAACTCTCTTCCTTGGTTGAGTTCTAAAATAGTTAAGGATGCAGGGGGATCGGTGAATATTTATTCCCCATATTTCACAACAGCAGTCTAAAACCAGGTTATTCCCCATATGTCCAACCTCGTCCTATGTTTATCGTATAATATTTATTCCCCATATAGGGCTCTAGGGTACCGGTCTAAAACCCACTTTGTAGTAACCTTCAGCTTCAAGCATAGAACGATTACAAATGTAGGTCTACGACATTGTTATAGTCATACTATCGATTGGGATCATTCAGAAGAACCTATGTGCCCAATGCTAAATAGGTTTATGACACTAATAACAACTTGTGACTAATCTTCTTGTTCAGTACCACTCAGGGTTAGCTGTTAATACCCCTTTTTGTTAGTATATACCACACAGTGAAGATAGAGGCCACACGGGCGGAGCTAAGATCCAAGGGCTTGGGTTCAGTGGCTCAAGGAAGTGCTCATTTAAGTGAATTTTGATGACTTTTTACTAAGAGCCAAGCCAACCGATAAAACTAGTATCCAAAATGCAAAACTAGTATCTAAGATGCAAATACTACTATATGTTTGTGTTTAGGAATTCTCTCTCTTCTTTATTTTGAAAACTCTGATCTCCCTTCTCTTTAGAAATTTCGATCTGACTTGGTCTTACTCATCTTAGGATCACTAGAGTTTGGAGTTTCTCTAATTGAGATATGATATGCGAATTTTGTTCCTTGTGGTGGGCTTTTCCTCCCCGACGATTGTTACATTTTTTGGGTTTCTTTGCTTTTTGGGTTTTTTTAGTTTATTGCCTTTCTCATTTTCTTGGTTTCTTGACTTTCTGATTGGTTTTTTTAGTAGAGTGTTTCTATCTAATGCCATGGATACCAATTTATAAATGATATTTTTATGAATATTATTTATATGCGGTATGGATACTATTTTGTGCTATCTAGATATCATATTATGAATGTGGAATACATATTGTTTTCATTATGGATATCATTTAGTAAACCTTGAATACTAGTTGTTTTAATGTGGATATTAGTTTGTAATTTATTGGCTTTAGTTGGTAATTCTTTGAGTCTGGATATTAGTTCTGTGATGTCTGGATACACTTGCATACTACATTATCATAGCGTGGTTACTAGTTCATATATAATGATCGATATCAAAATGCTACCACGTGTACTGGTTGATATCCGTTAGTAAACCTTGAATATTAGTTGGTAATTGATTGGTGTATACTAGTTATGTGAGTATAGATACTAGTATGTGCTCTATTGTTACTAGTTCATTAAAACAAAATGCTACAAAGTGTTCAACAAAATATGGATACTACTTCAACACAGACGAATATTAGATTGGGCGATATGAATATTAGTCGGAGATGCTTTCTCTCTCATGTGAGAATAGTTGGTGGGTGTCATTAAATACTAGTCTATGCATTAAGATACTAGTTCATGAAATTGAATACTAGTTCTCTTGACTAACTTAGCTTTCAATCTAGAAACTGCAAAAAATTTCTTAAATAAGCCATTCTTTTAGTTGCTGAGCTCGGATCTTAGCTCTGCTAGCGTGGCCTCCATTCTCACAATGTGAGTAAATACTCACAAAAAGAGGTGTGAGCACGACTGATTCATTACACCCACTAGGGGTGACTATTTGGTCCGGGTTTTTTGGTTTTACCCGAAACCGGATCTTATAATCCGAACTGAGACCGGGGCGGGACTGGATAGCAAACAACCCATCCCGTCTTCGGGCTTAGATTTGAGGTAAATAAATCGTCCGGGACCGGATCGGGAATCAGATAAAGACCGGATAAGAGAGCCCAACACCCAGCACCTAACCAACTCATCACCCTTTTAGGGCTTAGCCCACTCAAACCCCCACAAGGCCAATCTAAAATCAAGACCTGACCGAAATCGGACCAAGTTAAAACCTAACTGTATTCAATGCAATATTCGATTCTCATATTCTCGAAAAAACCGGTCCAAACCGAATCAATTTAACCGGACCGGACCGTATAGCCCTCCTAACACCCACCACTTAAAAAGGAAAGGAAATAACAGGAAAAGGCTGTCGCTTTGATTGCATGGTGCTATCAAGTACGAGGGTAACAAGCCAACAATCAATACAGTAAAGAGAAGGGACAGCCAATAAATTAGCAGCAAAAGCAAAAGATCCGAAATTCCGAATCGAAAAAGCGCATCTTCCCCTACCTCTGAAATTCCACACACTCCTCTCTGAAAATTATAACGCTCAACTCAACTGTCTCTCACTCCAACTCCAAGTCCAACTCCAACAATTCTTACAAGCTACAATCCCAACCAACCACGGATTCACCCAGTCGCCTTGTGCTTCATCCGTAAAATTACCCACGACAGGGAATTCGCAATCATTGCTATAAGTTTAAGATAAAAGCGGCGGAACAGCGGTGGCGGAGAGACCGGGGGAAAGCGGAGGAAGGGTTCGGCGACGGGATCACCTGTTTTTTTGAAATTCCATCAATTATAAAAGCTACGCGGTTCTCCCCCTCGCGACCCTTTTTCTCTTTTAAAATCCCATTCTTTCTCTCTCTCTCTCTGTCCCTCTGTCTTCGCTTCTCATCTCCTCCCGCTCCTCTGTTCTTTCTTTTCCGTTTTTTTTTTCAAACAAAAAAACCCATCTCTCTCTCCCTCTCTTCCTTATGTCGCGTCTTCTTTCCATGGCGATCTGAGCTGGAATGCGGTTGCCTGGGAGATTGAGGTAACTGGAGAGCAACCCGAAAGATAGCAGGAGGGAGAGAGGAAGAGAGAGAGAGAGAGCCAGTATTGGGATTCTTTTGAGGGAAGTGGGTAAGGCTGCAGAGGGATAATTTTTTGGCCGTTTGCATAATAGTAATTTCCGAGAGAAGAGGAACAGAGAGCTCTTGTGAAGGGAAGGGAAGCGAAACGAAGGAAGGGGGATAACAATCAAGAACGGGGGAGGGAAGGTGGGAGAATCAGAATGTTATCAATGGAGCTCGTGGATTCGTTCCTCTTCTCTCTCTCCAAGGCCTTCTCTTCTCCCATTGCAATCTTCGTTCAGATCCAGGTTTATCCCTCCTTCCCTTTTCCCTTCTAATTCAGATCCAAACTGTGTCTCTGTTTTTCCCCGTACCTTTCTGCCAAAGGAAATTCCGATGCTACTGTTTCAAGTTTAGAAAACTTTATAAATCTTTTTTTCTTTTCTTTTCTGCCTGCCCTTTTCGATTTCCTTCTCTGGGCTCTGATTATTGGTTGACATTGGCAATTTGGCGGTGTAAAGGTGTGAACTTTTCCTCGTTTTGTATGTTGTATGAGCTGAATTCTGGTGAATCCTTGACAAGTTCGGCTTCTTGCGCTGGAATTTGTTCAATTTACCCTGTGGCATATTCCAGCATGCTTTGCTGGAATAACTTGACATGAGATATTCGCCTTCCAACCAAATGCAGCCAGCCTTGTATGCCAAAGCGCTCCACTTTCCGGTGGCCTTTTAGGTTTTCCCAAATGGATGGATGCTAATGGCTACCGCCCTGTGATAGAATTTTGTAACTTTTCGGATGTCTCCTTCGTTGCCACCTTTATTGGAGCATATAATCGAATATATGAGCTGTGAGGGTTACGTGTGAGATAGCTCTTATTTTGGATTTGGCCCTGCCGAAGTGTTTTCGGCATTGGATTGGTCGAGCAAAGCTTGTCCACTTCTACAATTCATTTGTCTCCACGCCCTTTTGGTTTTTACTGCAACCTCAACCTCCTTGTCTATATGCCTAAATTTCCTGCTTGATTTAATAGGTGTTATATATCTCGGATTTTAGGGCCAGTGTCCTGAAATTCTGAACGGCAAGGCCAACTTAATAAATTTGGATTGCGACACTATCCGGTTGAATATGGTCGGAGTAGTTGCAAGCTAGTTGTCTAGGAGGAGTTTAATTGGTGGGATTATGTTAGAAATTCTGTTAAGTACGTGGTTACTGCATGTTAGTTCTGTTTTCCATCTTACTGCTTACAATATTGGTTTCAAGAGTATCCACAGACTATATTTCCTTGTCCATCTGCAGTTGCTGTGTTGTTGCTCCATGCTAGTCCCATTTATCTTGCTATATTTCTTCATGTTTAAGATCTAGTTGCATCATTTTATTCCGCATGTTTTGGAAGCTGATGTGGTCTCAAGGTCTCTTGGTCTTGGCTGTCAGAGAAACTATGACTATGGTTCATGTTCTTGCTCTGAACAATTGAACGTATATTCTGCATTCTTACTATTGCCTTGATCTGTTTCTTTCTTACTATTCAGGTCCTTGCTATTACAGCTTTATCTTTCTAGAGATTGATGATAATGTTATCTCTGAAACGTTTGTTCATTGCGCAGGGATGTCTGATCTGCTTGATTCTTGCCCTTGGATGGGTCCTCGCTTCATATGTCAGGTATCAATGTTATATGAATATGACGATTGTATATGTGTATGTATCTTTTTATTTGCATTTAGGTTAGGTTGCATGCAGTGGTCTCTTGGCTTATGGTACCTTCTCACTGCAGGAATAGAGAGATTAAACGAATGAAGGATAGTGCTAGAGCTGGCAACAGCTTTTCATTCCTTTGCCATGACATCAATGAATTGGAGCACTCTTATCAGGCCAACCTGCCTAGAGTGAGTGTCGTTATGCCTTTGAAAGGCTTTGGAGAACACAATCTCCACAATTGGAGAAGTCAGGTCAGTTGGATTTCATTACTGCATCTTTTATTATGGTCTTGCGCAGCTGGTTCATAAGCTCGTCAATGTTGTCTGTTTACTTCGTGATTACGCCCAGCTTCTTGTTACAGAAGTTGTGTTAGTCATTTTTTGAACATGGAGAATTTGAAATTTTGGATAATCATGTGCTATTGGGATGCATGACTAGATCCAACTGGTCATGTGCTTTGTGTTGTTTACAGCTTGATAATATGTGTATTCTTTTTTTTTTTCCTCATCAAATTCTGTTAGCTGCTGTGGTTTGCTCTTCCTATGTTTTGGCTATTCTTGTATTCTATCAACTGCTGTTAACTGTTGTTTATGGTTGGTTTTGTAGATAACATCACTCTATGGAGGTCCTCTGGAATTTCTCTTCATTGTAGAAAGCACAGAAGACCCTGCTTACCATGCTGTGTCTCGCTTATTATCTGATTTTAAGGTATTCTTGCTCATATTTAACACATACTGTCTGCTGAGCGACTTGTTTTGGAAGTTGCATTTCCCTCCGGTGCGATAGCACCATTATTGGCACTGTCCAGTAGCAGCAGCACGTTTTGTTGGGCCGTCAATCAATCTAGAGAATCGAACCAAAAAAAAAAAAAAAAAAAACTCCGTGTATACACAGAAGACATTCTGCTCATAACTATTCTAGTTGTAAATACTCTCACAATTTGACAGATTCGTCACCCTCTAAACTCTTTCAGATAAATATATGTCTATCTTCAGAATTTTCATATATTGTTTTATGACCATTGAGCTTTATTGACTTGTGCAGGATCATGTTGATGCTCAAGTTATTGTAGCTGGATTGTCAACTACATGCAGTCAGAAAATTCATAACCAATTGGTATATAGTATATGACTTGCAATTCTGTAGTTTTCTTTTGTTTCTCTTGTAGTGACTAGTGAGGTAGTTTGTACTTGGAAGATCAGGGCACTTGGACATATGCAAGCTTAGGGTAACAGCTAGCTAGCTAGCAGTTTTCATTCACCATCATTTTCTAACCCATCTTGAAGCATAGTCCCATAGGAAATAATAATGTTTTGCTACTGCTCTTTTTAAGGTTGGGGTGGAGAACATGCATCCAGAGACCAAATATGTACTGTTTTTGGATGATGATGTCAGGCTGCACCCTGGGTCCATTGGAGCACTCACTGCAGAGATGGTGAAGAATCCAGCGGTATTCCTGGTTTCCTTGACTATCTTGTGTTTCGTCTATGCCACACATTCATCTTGTCTAATTTACAGAAAATTTGTGCAGATATTTATTCAAACGGGATACCCTCTAGATCTACCTTCTGGCAGTCTGGGAAGTTACTGCATCTATGAGTATCATATGGTAAAAGGACACTCCTTGTCTCTTTCTTTCCCTCTCTTTTAGTTCACGTCTTGTAAATTGCGAATGTATACCTCAGATATGAATTCGTTAATGATGAGCATTTTGAGATTTCTTTTTGGCAGCCTTGTTCGATGGGATTTGCAACTGGTGGAAGGACGTTCTTCTTGTGGGGAGGTTGCATGATGGTACTTAGCTTCCCATTGTCTATTTAGCATCTAGTCCATTATCCGACTTGAAATTTCTCATCTGTAATAGTCCTAGTTGTTTTTCAGATGCATGCTGATGATTTTAGATGTGATCGTTACGGTGTGCTCTCTGGACTTCGAGATGGTGGCTACTCGGATGATATGACTCTTGCAGCATTAGCTGGTAACTCTCTCCCACCAAGAATATTTTCTGAATGTCTTAAGAAGAAGCGGCAATTTCGCAATGTCTTGTTAGATCGCTGATCTTCTTCCTTCCCTCCCCAGGGGCTCATAAGTTACTAATTACTTCACCTCCAGTTGCTGTCTTCCCTCACCCACTTGCTAGTGATCTTAGCTTTTCAAGGTTTGTCATGTATCCCTTCCCCAGGCTTGAATGTGCCCTCCATTCCATTAGGCTCAACTTAACTGGTTTTTATTCTGTTAGGTACTGGAATTACTTGAGGAAGCAAACATTTGTGTTGGAGTCGTACATATCAAAGGTTAACTGGACGATGAACCGAGCATTGTTTTCTGTCCACTGCTATTTGTCGTGGGGGTTTACAGCACCATACTTCATGGCTGTGGTTCATATTGCAGCCGCCCTTCGCATTTATGCCCAAGGGTATGCTCGGGAGGAAACAGTGTTTGTTTCGAAAGGTAATCAAAGCATCTGTTAATATTCTCTCATATTCTTAGGTTATTTGGTTGGCTGTATTTGGTTTCTATCACAATTTCGTGTACAAATACATTGAACCAAGCATTGTTTTGCAAATACACCTCTGATTACAACATGCAAAATTGTTGGCAAACAATTGCGAAAGATACACCGCACCAAATACAATTCAAGTGCTGAATTCTTACTGTTGTGAGAAATTCCTTTTCCCCCAGGGTTGTTACTGGTTGCATGTCTGGCAGCATGCACATTTGTAGAACTCTTCTCGATGTGGAACTTGACAAGGGTAGAAGTTCGTTTGTGCAACATGCTATCCCCCGAGGCACCTCGACTCTCTCTTGGTTCATACAATTGGGTTCTGGTAAGTATGTACCCGTTATGGTGCACATTCATTCATTTTGATGCTTATTAGTAAGTGCTTAAAGAGTCTCAAAACTACTTCCTTGCTAATAGTAGCCAAATGGGTTTACATTGGAGCAGGTCTTTGTAGCTATGGTGGTGGATAACTTCTTGTATCCAATCTCTGCAATGCGTTCCCATTTCTCCCAATCTATCAACTGGTCGGGCATTCGTTACCACTTAAAAGACGGGAAGATATACAAGGTATGCATAATGCATTTCAAATCTTCATTCGACGATGATTTCTTCCTTTTGCATCATATGTTCCTCTTTCTTACGATTTTCACTATATGCAGATTGATAGGAGCAAGGATATGGGTCCACTTTACACAGACTTGGGAGGGAAGCATTTAGGGAGGAAAGGTGCTCCTCAAAAAGCCTCATTCCTTGGCTCTCTCTGTAGAAGTTTGGCGCAATGGAGACGTCCCAAGAAATATGATGTCTGAAGATCATCATTTCAGAAAGGGTTAGAGTGTTTGTTTGTTTGATTAATTAATTTGATTGTTAGGGGTTTGAAAATTCAGTTCAAAAGCGGGAAAAAGGAAGCTATTCTTGGTGGGTTGGGTTCTACATGTTGTCCTATGTGTTTTACTTCCAGGCTGCAGGCTAGGATCAAGCTTAGTCTATTTGTTGTTCATTGATTTTGGTCTCTTTCTAGGAGGGGAAGGTGTTAGTCTCAATTCAATTGAACTTCAATTCATCCATCCAAATCTATCCTTTTTGTGGTGGATTGGTTTTGTAATTTTTTCATATCATTTGTGCTGTAATTTATAGATTGTTGTTATGCAGTTGGAAGTTCAGATGCGATACCAACAATTTGCTTGTTCTTTTTTGGGTTCGTAGAAGAGGGGTTTAAATTGCAGATCCTTTAAGAACAATTGTGTAGTGAGTTACTGCTACAAGGCCAATTGGCCATCGCAGAATGTTTCATTCATGTTTGAGGAGGGCTTGATATCTTGCTTAGCTCCTCCCGCCGCAAAATGCCTGAAAGTATCTCATTGTTTCGGATTCTCTGCTGCTAAAGATCCATGGCTGCAGCTGCTTCCCCGACCATGGTTCGTGGCAAGAACCTCGTGCTCACAACCCAGATTGCATAACACTGTCCCTCAAGGCACCGCCCCTCTCTCTTTGTTTTTACAATTTGGTTATTGTAACTACTTACCATTATGGTGCACATTCATTCATTTTATTTCTTATTAGAAAGTGCTTAAAGAGTAAGAGAAGTACAGCGTCTCTAATTTTAGCATATGGATTCTACGATGGAGCAGGTCTTTACAGCCAAGGTGGCAGACAACTTGTAATGTCCAATCTCTGCCATGCGCTCCCATTTCTCCGGTCGATTAATTGGTGATATCAGTTACCACTTCAAAGATGGGAAGATCTATAAGGAAATCTGAATGCATTTCTAGTCTTCCATCAACGATAGTTCCTGTAGCATTGTAAGATATAGAAGCCCTAAAAAAGGAATAATGCTTCTCTCTACTTTAACTTCAATACTCATTCTGCTTGTTTCACTAGGCTTGCCGATGCATCATATATAGCAAAGAAGCCTTTCCTAAGTACAAAGGGTAAAGACCACAACTTAGTCCTACTTCCGTAATAACACTACTTCCACAATACTTCCCAAATAACAGAACCTCCTAAGCAAGTTTAACATGATAATGCTTGCTGAGATAAAGAACACAGGGTAGCAAGTTCAGGCACAAATGAGTTCCAGGCTATAACTTAATATCTATCTTCTTATGCATAGGCCATAAACATGCTCTAACTCAAGGGATTCCCCTTAAAAAGCTAATGTTAATCTCAGAAACGGTACAGTGCAGTTCAGCAGCACGGCCAGGAGAAGAAACAAGTTGATACAAATACAATGCGGACCTAGACGAGCCCGAAAACCAGATTGATGACTACTTCTCCAGCTCTCCAATGCAGTAGTCCTCAATCAATTGGAAAGCTCCACCAGGATGTTGCGGGCTGCAATGTATAACAAAATAAAGAGTGGAATTAAGCATTCCAAGTCGAGGAAACATAAATACTGTCCACAGTTCACCTGATTGATCACATGAAGTTTACTATAACGAGAACGAGAGTGGATCAGAGAACAAGGATATATATGGAACAACTAACTCGATTTTGTCACCAAAAGTACAAGGACAAACATATCTACGATGTCATAGATCAAGATTATTCTAATTTCACTCAGATCCACCTGGTCATTCTCTGCTAAGCTACTCCCACCCAAATGGTTAACTATCCTTTTCCAAACATTGCAACTCTGGACAGAGCAAGCAGAAGCTCAGACAACCTAACATGACGCTTCTGCTGCCTATTCTTAACTAGTTCCATCAAAGCACTTTTAACAGTGTACAGTGTGGTTATCTGATTGACTGATTCTCACTTAATTCTATGAACAAAAAACTGAATTGGGGCAATCTCTGCTAAACTAGTGTCGACGATGAAGATCAAGCATACCCATAAAATCCTTCGGTTGAATCGCTCCCAGCATTCGTCAAAATTGCATCACCACCGGGATGTTCTTCTACATAAGAGGTAACATCGAAAACCTGCAGCGAAGAAAACACCAAAAAGGGGATAGGGAAATCCATTCTTGCAGAAAACTTGTATTAATGGCTTTAAATAACTGGTATGGAGGATTAAACTGGGAGAAAGACCGTACCCTGTCCTTTACAATGATCCAACAATCAGTTCTCTTGTTATGCAAGGCGATCTCGGCTTTACTGTAGACTCCGTATACCTGAGAATAAGAAAGACAGAGACATGAAACTTATTCAATGGCTAAGCGAACACCAATGACTTAGATCAAACTATAAGCATGGTTAACAGAAAGTCTGACAACCGCAGCATAACAAACAAATTAGAATTCGAAGTAAACGGCTGTAATCAAGCTCCAGAAAAGCATACGGTTCACAGTAGCATTCAGCATCTGTCTGCAACAAATGATATATATCTCAATCACCCCTCATCAAGCCATATATAATCCAGACAAGCAAACCCATATTCTCCTCATCATGTGAGGGACATAACAATTACATGGAAATTAGTACACGAACGGCGTTCCAGAATTATAACAATGGTGATCCAAGTATCAATATTCAATAGGCATAACCCATGAATGCTTATAGATGTTGCCAACATTAACCTCGGATTCTGGTAACACACAATCGTGTCATTACTAAGAACAATCCTAGAAGTAGCAAACCTAAACAACATGAGAAACTATTTGAGCATCAGGACTATGTTCACAAATGGATTCATCTAAATTCCAACCACATTCCCTCTCTTTTCACAGAGCAGTGTCGTTGGCCAGTGAATGGTGCTATGAGCCTCGACAACACTGAAAAAACAGATTCTCAGTCGCATTGCAAAAATGCTGCGAAAAGCTGTAACATCAGAACCCACCCACCTTCTTTCTATCGGCGGCATTTGTTCGGCTCTTTTCTGCGACAGCTGAAATAATCAAACTTTCGAATATCACCACTGGGAAATCTATTGACAAAATGCACGGGGAATAAAGAAACACCAAGACATCCACCATGGAAAGCACCCCAAAAACGCTTTTACCAGATTTTCGTGGAATCAGAAACAAGGCTCCCAGTAAGACACCCAGAATTAGCACCGCTACAGCTATAACCATTCTTCCGCGGATGTACCTCTTCAGAATGCGACTCAGTGCGCGGTAAAAGAGGGTGTTTGGATGGAGCGGAAAGTGCGAGAAGGTTTGAGCTCTGGGGGTCCTTTGATCCGAACCCAGGTAGGAGAAGGGGGAAAGAAGAAGGAGCGAATCAGCGAACAGTTGGAAGTTGCAGGAGAGAGTGTTGTGCTGGGATTGTGCGCTCGGGTTTTCCTGAATCTCACCGGCCACAAAGTTCGAATCTTTTTGTTATGGCGACTGATGCTGACGAGTGCAGGCGAGTGATTCAGCTTTCATTCAGAGTGTTAGACCAACTCCAATGCAAGCCCCCAAATTTGGGGTTCATCCCCATTTTCCCTTCTTTTGCTCCAATGCTACATCCTCTATATTTGGAGATTTCTATTTTTTAAGTTTTTCATTTACTTAAAAATGTAGTTATCGAAGCCTTAATATAATTTGTTCATGTTAATTTTTGTATAGTTCTTCTTCATTTTTAAATACAAATTTTCCGGTAGAAATTTTTTTAATTTTGAGACCAAATTTTTGTTGACAAAAAATGATTGACCTCATTTGGGTTTACACACAACACTTGAAAATTATTGATCTAATTAAACCCCTAACTAATCCCCTGATTAAACCCTAATTAACCCTTAAAATCTTAAAAAGAAAAAGAAACGCCACGTGGCGGGCTTTGGGGAGTCTCTATATTTGGGGGAACCCCCATTTCCACCCCCAAATTTGGGGATCCTTTTGGAGATCTCCCCCAAATATAGAGGCTCCTCCATTTATAGAGGCTCCATTGGAGTCAACTTTCCCCCAAATATAGAGGCTCCCTCATTTATAGAGGCACCATTGGAGTTAGCCTTAGTTCGGCAAAAATATGTTCATAGCGGAGCATCTTATCTTATATATAAAAGCTAGGTACACTTTTTTGTCAAAGTTATTATTTCAATTTTTGTGTTTTAGTGAAGATGAAAGAACTTGCCATCTCAGCCCATCCCTCACACACTCAAATATATTTAAAAAAAATTACCATATGATCAAAGATATTGTATGTATAACAAAGTGGAAGATTGCTTTGTTTAGCCGAATCGAGTCGAAAATAAAATCGAGTAAAATAATTTCCTTGAAACCAGAGGTTTAAACGGTTCAATTTGATTTCAAGAAAATGAAACCAAGGCTTAATTGAATATTGAGTGTTTGTGTATTGGTTGTTATTTTATTTTTATTGTTTTCAGTTTTTCAGTTTTGACCAAACAAAAAACGCTAAGCACAAAAAGTTTGAGACCGAAACCAAAAAACGATAAGTGCACCTTATCTGTTCGTTTAGTTGAAATTCAAGAAATTGAATCCGAACTGATAGTCCTATGTATGGCACACTTTGCCATCTTTCATTTTGGTCTTCAGATTATCCAAAATCTTAATTAATTGATGTTTTCATTGTTGCTATGAGGGAAGTAAACATTGATGATGAATTCATTTTATTTTTATTACAAATTAGATCAGGTGCCAACTACTCTCAGAAAAACTCTTTGTGTGGTTGGGTTAAGCCATTGAAAATCACGAATAGGATACCACAGACAAAGGATATATTCAAGTTCTTTACGTTTGTGAAAATATAGTAAAGAATTAACTGAACTTTAGCGAGGATGAAAGGGCTTGATGATGAATTCATTTTCTTTTTATTACAAATTAGGTCAGGTGTCAACTACTCTCAGGAAAACTCTTTGTGTGATTGGGTTAAGCCATTGAAAATCACGAATAGTATACCACAGACAAATGATATATTCAAGTTCTTTAGGTTTGTGAAAATGTAGTAAAGAATTACCTGAACTTTAGCGAGGATGAAAGGTTTTGTCATCTTACCCCATCCCTCACATACACTCAAATATATTAAAAGAAAAGGTCTTTATTATTTGATCAAAGTTGTTATATGTATGACTAGGATGGGAGATTGATTTCAGTAACTAAATTAAATCGAAAATAAAAACCGAAAAATTTGAACAAGTAATATCCTTAAAAATGAACTATTAAGAGGCTTAAACGGTTCAATTTGATTTCAAGAAAATGAAACCTGAATAAATTTAATAATGAGGAAAATTCATATGCTAATATATGTTGCTCACTGTGCATAGGGGTGGGCATCGGTTCGGTTCGGTCTAAACCAAACCGAACATAAGCATACCGAGTCCTTTGAACAGCCTAGAGATGAAACCGAATTCGAACCGAAATATATTTCGGTTCGGTTTGGTCGAACCAAAATATATCTCGGTTCGGTTCGGGATCCCGACCAACCCGAACTTCTAGAGACATCATCTTCCCCACTTCCCTTTCAATCATTCGTCCCCTTCTTTCACCATCTGCTACTCTCTCTCTCTCTCTTCCAAACAAAGATTCATCTCTCTCCCTCCCACCAAACTTTCTCCCAAACAAAATTCATCATCTTCTTTCATCCTTCCCTCTGCTACTCTCTCTCCCCCCACAAAACTCTCTCCCAAACAAAATCTTATACTAAACAAAAATCGATTTTCAAAGAATAGGTAGAGATCTCAAAGATTGAGAACGAAGGGGAAGGGTAGATCTGATTTCTCTGTTCACGTCCCCTCGACCTTGAGTAAGGCGTCGCCGCTATCCCGCCACCGATGAGTCTAGTGAAGAGCGGTGGATTTCTTCGTTGGTGCGGGTCGCGGTGCGAAGGCGGGGCTGGGTGCGAGTTGCGGCGACAGCAGTGACGTCGAACGTCGGGTTGCGGCAAGGAGGTGGAGCTGGGTGCATCTTCTTCGACTTTTCCGCCGCCGATCTACATCTTGAAGGAGAGTATCAGAGTAATGGGCTTCGTCTTTCTTTCTTCTTCCCACTGGTTGTTGGAAAATGGAAATGAGATAGCAGATAGGGTTGGGAGGTAATGGGCTTCGTGGGAGACAGGGGGTTTTGGTAGGGATTTTTAGCGGGCTTCTTTGGCCAGTGTGGGCCTGAGGGAAGGGTGGGCTCATTTGGTTGAGTGTAAGGGGAAGAGTATGGGCTTGGGCTAGGCAGATTGTATAATTCGGTTTATCGGTTCGAAATTCGGATGTTCGGTTCGGTCGACAGGATCATGGGTTCCGAATTAAGCCCATTTCCCTTCCGAATTCCGATCCGAAAAATATTTCGGTCGGTTTCGATCGGTTTCGGTTCGGTTTGATTCGGTTCGGAAAGGTGAACCCGAACCGGATGCCCACCCCTAACTGTGCACATCTTACTTTCTTTTTCTGATTTACAACGTGGTCTTATTGGTGGTTGTTGGTCATGAAACTTAGTGCTTTATATTGCTTTGGATTTGGTCAATTTGTTCCTCTGTTCAATTGTTAAGTTTTGCTACATATATAAGTGATTGCTACAATTCTATCATTTTGCTTCCATCTTTACTTGATCGGATTTGTGTATCCAACGAATTAACTGGTTGATGGAACTTGGATCCAACAAATTATATTATGAATGTTCTTATTTTTTCTTAATATATTAGACTTGCAAGAGACAACGATTAGTGGTGTCTTAAGTTGTATGGACAATGAATTTTTTTTGTTAGTGAATTAGAGGTGAGGTGTTGTACATGTTAGGCTTATGAATAATAATCATATGTATGCGTTCACTTTTACTATTGAATTCGCTTATCATATGGATATGCAATCGCTCTATGTAGTAGTTAATTCATTGTATGTTTCATGATCCAAGTCAAAGTTGTGCTCGATTAATAACCTTCTAACTCTCTTCCTCACTCACAACAAGTTGAATGTTATTATTCAATGAATTTTTTTTTGAAATTTTACATGTTTTCTCCAAGAGTTTTTATTATATGAGTCATGATGGTTAGGCGTAGCTTTCCTATTTATGCATTGTTCTCTCAATATATGTTCATTCCCCCATTTTACCGATGAATGGTAACTAAGTATTGTTGGAAATAATCACAGACTACAAAAATGGTTAATAATATAATAGATGTTGAAAGACATATGAGATATCAACAACTGCTTCACTCTCCATTTAGCGAGAAAGGCCAACTAGATAACAAGAAAATATAAAATTTTTTAATCCCAATTTGTTCGGGACTACCAAGGTTCTAATAAAGCATGATAATAGTTTCTTACACTTATCTCATGTAAATGTAAAATAAGCTTTTTATCAATTTTTAATTTGTTTTATGATGTTTGACATCTATTGTGTACTTCATTGTTTTTCTTTCCGTTCGTTAGTTTTAAGGAAAGGAGACCAATAAAATGAACTATGATTAGGGGTCTACATGAATCGGGGTGAGTTAGTTTTGAACCCTCTCAACCATGCAACTCATATGCCTCAGGTCAAGTGATGCACTACCCAAATCGAATTATATGACACATAAATCTATGTGTTTCAGGTGATGCGCGGGTCGAATTGGATTGATACTAGACATGTCTATACATTAACCAAATAGGACTGAACCTCGGTTCATTTTATGTTAATCAAACCAAATTGGTTGGTTATCAAAAATCGAATTGCTGTCATTTTAGCAATTGTAATTGATGTTGTTGCAGTTACTTGAGAACTGAATATTATGATTTTTGGTTATGTTGCGGTTAACTGCGTTCAATCAATTAACCTATTTGTCATTCTTTTTGGTTTAGGTTACCTAATGGGGTAGGCCATTTGGCTTTGGGGTAGTTTAATTTTGCGATTATTTGGCGATTTTGTTTTGCAGTTTGGTGTGCAGTTACACCAAATACCAAAGATTATCTACAACTATTCTATTCCTTCATTTTATTGTTCTCGATTGACTATTAATCGTAAAATTCGAATCAGACTTCGGTTAGCTTGCCATAACCAAATTTTCTGCCCTATAACCAAATACTCCCTGCGGCGTAGCCGCGGGTATTGATTCTAGTATCAGTAACTGATGGGTACAGTAACCCCCTCTCTTCTCTTTATTAGGGATGACAATTTTGTCCATACCCATGGGTATTTTACTATCCAACCCAATTGGATTGGTATGAAATCCAAATATATGGATATGGCCTATGGGTAAAGTTTGATGGGTTTGTACCCATACCCATTTACTTTGGGTTGGGTTGGGTTTATAACAAATGGATTTGTACTCATGCTCAAATACAAATTACAGTTTGGTACCTAAACTTAATAGGTATGCATATTTAGTACCTAAATTTAATTTTTTTTTCATATAAGTCCTCAAAATATCGATGGAAAATTACGTTTTGGTACCTGAATTTTTTTGGTCTTACATTTTGGTACCTAAAATTTTCAAGTTTTACAAATAAGTCCAATTTTTGCATGTGTAGTTA